ATATATATATATATATATATATATATATATATATATATAGTATCATACCAAATTGAATTTTTAAGTGTTCATGGTGCAAATAAATAGAATATATTTTTTACCTCTAACTAAAATTAATAAATAAATAAATATCTACATTTTACTCACAACCTGAGCTTTTGATATGCTATTTTATTCCTTCACAGAGAAAAAAGTTAATAAAAGCAAGATGAAGAACTACATTACCCATTTTGCAGTACCTGCAGCAAAAAAATATAAATAAAGGCTTTAGATTTGTCCAATCGACTTTGTAAGAAAAAAAAAAAAAACAGACTACTCTTACATGTAGGCTACTCTTTTTATTTATTTATTTGCTTCTTTTACATATACAGTGGTGTGAAAAATTGTTTGCCCCTTACTCATTTTTAATATTTTTGCATGTTTGTCACATTTTAATGTATTAGATAAACAAAAAAATGTCAATTTTAGTTAAAGATAACACGAGTAACACATCCTGCAGTTTTTACATTTTAAATGTTTTTATTATTAAGGGGAAACAAAATACATAACTACAAATCCCTGTGTGAAAAGGGTTTGCCCCTTCTGTTAAAACATAACTTTATCACACCTGAGTTCAATTCCTCTAGCCACACACAGGCCTCATTATTGCCACATCTGCAATCAAGAAATCACTTAAATAAGAGCTGCCTGAAGCCTGGTTTATACTTCTGCGTCGAGTGATCGCCGTGACCCATGGCGCTCTGTTTGTGTTGTGCTGCAATAACACTTCTGAAACACTAGCTGGCAGTGGGTTTTTTATGTTCCTCTGTGTCCAGTTTCTTCACTGGTGTTTTGTTTTTTTTTGAACCCTAACTTACTGTACAAGTGGCTCAAACTTGCTCATTTTGAGGCGGGAACCGGCGGACATGCAATAACACAAAAGACCCCACAACAACATCCAAAAACTGCAGAACTAACTTGCCTCAGTTAAGGCAAGTGTTTGTGACTCCACCATAAGAAAGAGACTGGGCAAAAATGAGTTCCAAGATGAAAACTGCTGAGCAAAAAGAACGCTATAAAAGCTCATCTCAGTTTTGCCAGAAAACATCTTGATAGACTTTTGGGGAAATACTCTGTGGACTGATGAGACTAAAGTTTTTGGAAGGTGTGTGTGACACTTGTATGTAGTGTACTGTATAAGTAACACCACATTTCAGAAAAAGAACATCATACCAACAGTAATATGTGCAGATGGTAGTGTGATCTGGAGCTGTTTTGCTGCTTCAGGACATGGAAGATTTGCTTTAATAAATGAAACCATGAATTCTGCTGTGTACCAAAATTTCTTAAAGGAGAATGTTTAACCATCTGACCTTAAGCTGAAGTAAATATGGATTTTGCAGCAGGACAATGATCAAAAGCACACAAGCAATTCCACTTGTGAATGGCTGAAGTAAAACACAATTAACACTTTGGAATGGCCTAGTCAAAGTCCTGACCTGAGTCCGATTGAGATGCTGTGGCATGGGTTTAAAAAGCTGGTTTGTGCTCGAAAATCCCCCAATGTGGCTGAATTGCAAATATTCTGCAAAGATCTGTCAGCCAAAATTCCTCCACAGTGCTGTAACAGACTCATTCCAAGTTATCATAAACGCTTGATTGCAGTTATTGCTGCTAAGAAAGGCACAACCAGCTATTATGATTAGGGGCAAACACTTTTTTTACACATTACCCTTAATTAGAAAACCTTGCACTGTGACAGTGTTTTTGTATGCGATCTTTCAATAAAATTTAAATTAGTTTGATGATCTGAAACATTAAACGGTTACAAACATGCAAAAAATTGGAAATCTGTAAAGGAGAAAAACATTTTCACTCTACTGTATAGCATGAACACTCATCCTACTGATTAGCTCTATAAGGCAAACTAGAACATTAATACTGAACCATGTAGACAAAATCACACTGAATACAATGGAACTTACAAAATTTAATGATTACAATTCATTTATTTTCTTTCTAGTCGTCTTCGGAGCAATGTTGAAAGCAAATACTTAATGGACGGAGTTCCCTTCAGCTGCTGCAACGTCAACTCCCCTCGGCCGTGCATTCAGCACCAAATCAGCAATAACTCCGCTCACTTTAACTATGATTACCAGACGGAGGAGCTCAACCTGTGGATGAGGGGATGCCGGCAAGCTCTGCTACAGTATTACACTAACATCATGCACTCCATCGGCCTCATGGTTCTCATCATCTGGCTCTTTGAGGTTGGTTGGGTTTATTGTTTTGGCAATACATTTGGAAATAATTCAGTAGGAAATAATTATATATATATTTTTCAAAATAACTACGTATTTCAATAATAAAAAAAAGTTAGAACTGTAAAACATTACCACTTTGTAATTGGAATTGCCATTACTTTTCACAACACTTAAGACGTTTAGGGAATGTAGACACTAAGTGATAAGGTGTTTCACATTTAATTTCGTCCTGATCCTCCTGCAAACAAGTCAAGGTGGACAACAGTTCGGGGTTTTTGTTGTCGCATTTTACGCTTTAAAATATGGCACACATTCTCTACTGGAGACAGGTTGGGACTGCAGGCAGGCCAGTCAAGAACCTGTATCCTCTTCTATCCTCCTCCCCAGCCAGGACTTTGTAATGTGTGCAGAATCTGGTTTTGAATTGTCTTGTTGAAATATGCATGGGCGTCCTTGAAAAAGAAGGCAGCATATTATGTTTGAAAATCTCTATATACTTTGCAACATTAATAGTGCCATCACAGAAGTGCAAGTTACCTTTGCCATGGGCACTGACACAATGCCATACCATGACAGACTCTGACTTTTGCACTTGTTACTGGAAACAATCTGGATGATCTTTTTCATCTTTGGTCCGGAACACACAGCTTCCATTTCTCCCCAAAATACTGATTCATCTGAACACAGTTCACCTTTTCACTGTATGATGTAAGAGAAGCCAAGAGATGTCGATGGCACTTCTGGACACTGTTAACATAGGGCTTCATTTTGGCACAATACAGTTTTCACTGGCATTTGTGGATGTAACTACATACTGTGGTACTTGACAAAGGTTTGCAGAAGTAGTCCTGAGCCCATGTGCTGGTATCGCTTATATGTGAATGACGATTCTTGATGCACAGATTTTCAAAGAAACTCATCAGGGGCCAGTTGCACCAGAATCTTTCAATAATATTTAAATTAGTTTGATGATCTGAAACATTAAAGTCTCACATTCCTAATGAATGTATTCTTGATGAGTGATTTGTGATGCAGTGCTGCCTAAGGGATTGCTCCTTTCCCAACTCTTTTTGAAATGTCTTGCAAGAACCAAAATTGTAATTTTTATGTAGAATAAATAAATAAATAAATAAATAAATAAATAAATAAATAAATAAATAAATAAATAAATAAATAACTAAAATCATTAGGAACACAAATAATGTTTGCTGTATTGTCTTCAATGAAATGCAATTTAAAGTAAATTTAGAAATCTCTACATTCTTTTTTATTTGCATTTTTTTTCTGATTTGGGGTTGTCCTTTAAGTCATTAACCATATTATACTTTAATTTGTGAGTTATACAATAAGTTTATAAATGTAGTGCTGGACATAAGTTAATCATGATCAATCACATCCAAAATAAACGTGAGCATACTGTGTGTTTATTATTTAAATATAAATACACACATGCATGCATATACTTGAAAAAATGAGATGTAAAATATGTGTATATGATACACATATTATAAACATTTAAATATCTATGTAACAAAATTGCATGTTTTTAACAAGTCAATTTTAAAACCACATTCTGCACACATTACAAAGTCCTGGCTGTGGAGGAGGATAGAAAAGGATACAGGTACTTGAATGGCCTGTCTGCAGTCCCAACCTGTCTCCAGTAGAGATTGTTTGGCATATTTTAAAGCGTAAAAGGCGACAACCAAAACCCCAAACTGTTGCCCACCTTGACTTGTTTGCAGGAGGAACGGGACAAAATTAAACCTAAAACACTTTATCACTTGGTGTCTACATTCTATAAATGTCTTAAGTGTTGTGGAAAGTAATGGCAATTCCAATTACAAAGTTGTGATGTTTTACATTTCATGTAAAGTATTTTACTTTCATTTGTAAGTTATACAATAAGTTTATAAATGTAGTGCTGGACAAAAGTTAATCACGATCAATCACATCCAAAATAAATGTATGGATACTGTGTATATTTATTATTTTTATATAAATACACACAGACATGCATATACTTGAGAAAATGAGATATAAAAAATGTCTATATGATACAAATATTATATAAATTTAAATATCTTTGTATGTATGTTTCTATGTATGTTTGTATCACATTTATATAATAATTATACTGTATATAATACACACACACATATATATTATGTCAAAACAATTTTTTATTTTGGATGCCATTAATCAAGATTAACTTCTATCCAGCACTACTAAAGTTTGATGTTAAAAGTCAGTATAAAGTATTGCGAGCTGATACAGCACTTGTTCATTTTATTAAAAACTTTATTAGAATAATTTTAAAAACAAGTAATCACTGACATTCATAGTGGTAAAGATATATACTATAGAAGTCAGTGACCACCGGTTTCCAACATTCTTCAAAATATCTTGTTTTGCATTTAGCAAAAAAAAAAAAAAGGAACACGTTTGAATCCAATTGAGGGGAGAGTAAAATATGACAGATTACATATTTTTGGGTGAACTATCCTTGTAAGCCAGCAGCTATTGTTTTTACAGCGTGGTTTAAATAATTAAAAACTAAATATTTATTATTTTGTTATAATATTCTCAATTGATTAAATATAGTTAAAAAACTACAGTATATGTCACTAAAAATATTCCACTGACTACAGTTCACTCCAATCCCTGATTAGGTGAAGTTTATTCATAAAATAATTTCGAGAGGATCACGTGCTTATGATTTATCACGGCCAGTCTCGCATTTGCTAATCACTATCTTCCAATCATATGAGCCCTAAGCTACTATAAATAGCCACAGTTTTCAGTTCACTTTATCTTCGTTTGGAAGAAACCCCCCTCCTCCCCTATTCTCCTCCTCTACCTGTGATTGATTGATGGGCACGGCGGCCCAGTGGTTAGCACTGTGAGCCACACAGCAAGAACACTGCCGGTCCTGGTTCCACAGGACTAGTGGGTGTTTCTGTGAGGAGTTTGTATGTCCTCCCCATGTCCGCATGGGTTTTCCCCGGGTTCTCCGGTTTCCTCCCACCATCCAAAGACATTCAACATGCATAACAATCAAGCTTGTCCTATCTCTTGCGTTCCCTTAGCTACAACGGCAGGGGAGTTCTGAGATCCACCGAGCTCAGGCTCCCCTCTTGCTCTGCCAACGGGAGGAAGCCCCGGGCTCGAGGAGCCCTTGAGCTTGGGGCTCTCTCCCGGGACAGCATGCCAAACAAGCTTTTGTAAAATCATCAGCTAAGTGTGAACTCTTGAAATGAAAAGCATGTCTCAAAGGTGGATCAAAAATTTTAAGAAAATAATTTCACAAATAAAAATGTCTTCATTCTCTGACAGCTGTCAGTGCTGACCGGCGTGCGTTACCTTCAGACGTCTCTGGAGAACGTGCTGCGTCAGGGGGACCCAGAATGCGAGTCTGACGGGTGGCTCCTGGAGAACAGCTTTGTGGAAACGGCTCGCTCCAATTTTAACATCATCAAACACCTCAGCAAATTCAATCAAATCAACACGGCCAGCAATAGAGATCCAAACACTGACAGACCATCTACAGCACACTATGGGCCCGACAATGTGCCTCCAAAACCTCATCCAGCAGACGGTTAATGAACTGTCCAGAATGATTCTTCTGGAGAAAGGACTGAAATCTGATACTAAATGACTTTAATGTTTAGCATTTTAGTTTATGGTTCCCAGAATACTCATTTTAAGGTTTGTTTTAGACCAAGCAGAAACTTAAGTAGAATATTATTATTTTTTTTTTTTTGTGAAAAATTATTCTAACATCATTTGCTAAATGTTGCTCTAATGCTTTCCTAATATTTCTAGAACAATCCCATAATCTTTTTACTCCAGCATGTCAATTATCAACTCTATGCAAACTGTATTCTCAATTTTTTATGCCTTTATATTTTCATACACTAATTTTCACAAATAATCCAGGTGCTATCGTCATCAGCACTAAATTAAACATTCTAGGTTCCTTACAATGTAATATATATATTTTTTTAAAGACAAATGAATACACAATTATGAATTATTAATAAATATGTGATTGTATCTTCAATTGTACAATTGTATATACTCTTGTATATACAGTTAGGTCCAAATTAATTGGACAGCAACATGATTCTAAAATGTTTGGCTTTATACACACACAATGAATTTGAAAGGAAACAAACATGATGGGGTTTAACTGCAGACTGTCAGCTTTAATTTGAGGGTATTTACATTCAAATCAGGTGAACGCTGTAGGAATTACAAGTTCACATATGTGCCTCCCACTTTTTAAGGGTCCAAAAGTAAAAGGACAAGTGGCTTCTAAGCTTATTAAAGCTGTATGACACTTATTTTAGAAAATCAATCCTGCTTAATATGGTTACATTATTGAAACCCCTATAAATATAATTTTAAAATAAACCTAAAATATCTTTTATAAACGGGGAATCTTTACAAATATATCAGAAATCATCTTGCCATCTTGGAAATATAGTTGTAATTATATTGTTTGTATTTTTGATCTTAACTTAGTACAGCTTATAGCTAAATAAGAATGATTTTACAACACACTCTTAAGGCCTGTAAGTTAACGTACAAGTGAAAACTTGAAGTACTGTTTTAAATAACAAGGCAACGCATAACGAAGCCTTTAAAGTCTTAAAATGCCTCTCTTTGAGACTGCAAAAGTTTAATCATTTTACAATTTAGAAATTCTCATACACAGTAAACTGTATAAAAACTGAAGAGTACCACTGGATTTGTTTAGAACTCAGATTTGTTTAAAGCACAAAATGTATATTGTAGTTTTCTCTCTTTTTTTGCAAAGTTTTCATGAAAACAACAAGTCAGTTTACCCATTACATGTACAAAAACAAGCCTTGGTCTCGTGCCTAAAGCAAGATATTGTTATCACTACTGAAAACATGACACCAACAGCCTCTAAAACGGTTTTCAAAGATGGATATTTTTGATGTACTTATGCACTGTATACTAATTTACTTTTTAAGGTTTTAAACGCACACCCACACCTAAGATTGATATGAATATAATAATGCAGTATATAAATATCTAAAATAAATAAATAATGTAAAAAAAATTTATTATTTGTTTAATACTTAATACTCATTTTTAAGAATATAATTCACTGTATTGGTTGCATGTATTGTAATAATGCATCTTCATTATAGTTCCATTTACTCCTTTTACTCACACTCAAGTTGTTCTAAAGTCCTGTTTGTGTGTGTGTGTGTGTGTGTTCATAAACTTTGTATCAACATTGTGCGTGACTCATCGTTGCAACTCCACAACAAATACATCAAATAAAAATCATTGGGAAAGTTCTTACTTTAGTACTTCTCACAAACATTATGCGAGATCTGCTTCCTTTATGTCTGTCACTGTGCGTTTTATCTGACGCAGTCGAGGAGATTGAGGCACACTAAAACTTTACAGACACATTCTGGAGACACCAAAGATTTAAATTTTAACAAAGGGGTACAATAAGTGTCCTATAAACTAGAATGTAAGGTCCACACTAACTAGTTACTACTAGTTAGTTTGTAACTAAATTTGTTCTCATTTCAGATGCACCATTTGTTCTTAAGGCTAACCCTAATTAGTACGTCGTAAGCTTTCCGTAAAGTCATGCATAGTCACATTAAATGATGTCATTTACAATAAAAATCATTTAAATCGTTAAACTGCTTTTTACATAACTGCTATATATAACTGTCATATGAAATTGAAATGATAAGTTACGTTTTTATGGCACATTACAATGCAATCAGTCACTAATAACAGATGACGCACACACCTGCATCACAAGCCATGAACGCACCTGAAATAGGAATGAAGTTATCAGTTATCAAAACTGGCAGGTTAGGGGAAGGGGTGGGGGGTCGTGGTTAAAAGTGAATAGCTTAGGCTCAAAATGTGTGGGCCCAATTCTGCATCTCGTACAACCTGATCGTGTCCACTTTCAAAATTTGCCATTTCTCTTTAAAATACAGATTTAAAACAGGTTTAACATCAGACACAGGAATTTTACATTCTGTCATCTCCATCTGTAGGGCTTCCTTAGCTGTTTAATCCGCATATTTGTTTCCAATGAATCCTACAGTATATGACCAGGTATCCAGAAAAAAAAAAATATTATCAGTATATTTCCTTTAAAAGGTCCAGTTCTTCTATTATGCTATAAATCGATTATCGGTTTTCATAGATTCAAGGGCTTGTAAGCAGGATATAAAATCTGTGCAAAAAAAATTGCTTTGCTGTTCTTTTTCTATTTATTCCAAATCTAAAAGTAGTGCACAAGCTTGAGCTGTGAATATTGAGCTTTGTCCGGGAATACTCTTTCTAAAACACTCTGAACCAATCACTGCTGCAGCAGATACTCGTCCATCTGATGTTGAACCATCTTTATACACTTACAGACGAAGTCAGAATTATTAGCCCCCCTAAATTAATATCCCACCCATTTATTTTCCGCCAATAATTGTTTAACGGAGAGAAGATCTCTTCAACACATTTCTAAACATAATAGTTTTAATAACTCATTTCTAATAACTGGCTTATTTTATTTTTTCCATGATGACAGTAAATAATATTTGACTAGATATTTTTTAAGACCCTTCTATACAACTTAAAAGTGATATTTAAAAGCTTAATAACTAGGTTAATTAGGTTAACTAGGCAGGTTAGGGTATTTCGGCAAGACAAGTCATAGTATAATGATAGTTTGTTCTGTAGACTATCGAAAAAATAAAAACTGCTTTTATTCTAGCTGAAATAAAACAAATAAGACTTTCTCCAGAAGAAAAAATATTATCAGACTTACTGTAAAAAATTCCTCGCTCTGTTAAACATCATTTGGGAAATATTTAAAAAAGAAAATAAAAGTTATAGGGGGGCTAATAATTCTGACTTGAACTTTATATTCTTTCTGATAAACATTTAAGTGGATTTCCCTTTTTTTGTACTGAGACAGATGCATTATAATAGATGTTTTGTTTATACGTATATATATATATGTATATATATATATATATATCATTGTTTTATATTCAGATTAATATTAAACTTCTACAAATGAGTTTTTATTCAAAAAGGACTGATGTATTTGGGTCTGGCTTGTAAGCTGCAACTTAGTGTCCCTTTAAGACACAACTAGGCTACATTTTAACTTAGGCACAGCTGGTGCAAATGGCCCCTGATGAAATTCTTTGAAAACGAAAGAATATATTGTATATTCTGAAGAATGTCGGGCATTGACATCTATAGTAATACACATTTCAATGCATGGGAAAATACTTTTTCAAAAAGCTATTTTTACTTCTACAATGATAAACCTTTAAGGTTCCACAAAAGCCAAGTTCACTTCGCAAAAACCGACTTTTTCAAAACTTCTTTAAGTGTTAGAAGTGAAAAAAGTCAGTCTGTTTTTCTCTCTATCCTTCTATATATCCACAGACACATCTTTTTCTACTTTTTTTTCTATTCTGAAAACAACCACAGAAGCAGCAATTTCCCGTTTGAGTTTTTAATATCTGACAGAAATACCCATTATTAGGAAATTAAAAGTTCAAAAGCAGAATAAATATTTTACGTACAGCTGAATGAATGAGTACAGTGGTTTTACAGTACTGTGAAGTGAAGGTCATGGTGTCACTCAGCAGTTTATTTTATGTGTGAGTAAGCGTAAATGAAAAGCTTTTACACACTGAAGAAATGATGAGCTAAAACTCTCTGGATTTAGACTGACAGTCAACAAAAGCACTTCTGTTCGATTTAATACATATTGACATTAAAATACACTGGAGTTCAGCTGACAGGCATTGTTGCATGTGATTATTGACTTTTTGTGTGTTTGTGTGTGTGTGTGTGTGTGTGTGTGTGTGTGTATCTTTATTAAATCACATTTATAGCAAAATAGCATCATCTAATTATACATTATTATTTTATATACATTTTTCCTGTGACATTATAGCAGGAATGAATCTCACAAAACAGAGTCATATTCCAGATAGAAAGCAAAAGTTATGGGAAAACATCTATTATCTGCTGTTTATAGTAAGTATAGTGTTGTACAATAACTGCTATAAAATGATAATTTTATAATATAATAATAAAAAATGATCATTTCATAGCAGTTATATATATATATATAAATTTTGTTTGCAATTTTAATCAGAATGTTTTTGTACACAGAAAATACTAATGAGAATGTCAGTTAGTATAAATGTTAATATTACTGATTTAAGTGTTGTCAATACAGAGATATTAAAAAATAAAAACTGTCAAGTATTACTGTATTGATAAAAGTGGAGACTGGGGAAAATAATGAAGTGCTCCAAAACAATATATGCAAAATCTGAATCTTTCTTTTGACTTTCTTTTGACAATGTGACCCCAACATGTTTGTGAGATTCATCTGAGAACAGAATTTGCAAAAAAAAAAAAAAAAAAACCTATTGAATATACAGGTTTTTCTTCATGTTGAGGGAATCTATGCATAATAAGAAGTAAACATAATATTCACATGCATAAATTTCTCACACAGATGAAAAAGCCAAAAAGCAGAGTGAGGGGAGCGGAAGTTAATAAAATGATTTGCATTTTCTATTGAAAACAAAAGCAAAACCTCACAATGTGCTGTATGTGTGAATCTGCAACCTGAAGAATGAATAAATCAAAAGTGAAAGTACACAGGTGTTTGTTTAGCATGGTTATCCATAATGCATTGTGATACGCTGCTCAGAGCATCTGCCACTCGAAAGGGAACATGACATTGAGGAGCTCCAGACTGCGGGCGATCTCCTCTAGGACGCAGTGTTGCTGCCAAAGGTGGAGCAGCTTACGGTAACGCTCTGGACACAAGTGGAGAGGATTCCCACGTCTGGAAGAACAGGAAACAAACATGCTTACTCAAAGTGATGGTAACACTTTAAAATAATGGTCCATATGTCAATGTATTTCCTAACATGAATAAACTTTTAGTAATGCATTTTTTACAGTGACAATTTTTACATTAACAAAGATGAATAAATAATGTTAGTTCATGTGCATTAACAAATGTTAACAAGCACCACAGGGCTGTGTGCTGAGCCCCTTCCTCTACTCCATTTTTACCATCGAATGTAGGCCTATGAACAGATCCAACACCATCATCAAATTTGCAGATGACACCACAGTGATTGGTCTAATCAACAATTATGAGATGGCCTACAGGGAGGAGATACAGCATTTGGCCACTTGGTGCACAGACAATAATCTGGGGCCTCATGTATCAATGCTGCGTACGCACAAAAACTTTGCATACGCCAGGTTTCACGCTTAGAATCACTCAAGTTTGGATTTACTAACGATGAAATAAATGTGAGAATGTGCGCAGCTCCACGGCAGCTTTATGCCTGGCGTATGCACATTTTTTGTGCGTGTTTGTTTTATTTCCATTGGCGACTCCTAGAGGCAGTTGTGTTAAATTGCACTCTACAAAGTGTCTGAGCAATGGCAGCTGTATGAGATGGGTTCATCTAGCAGGTATATAAGGTTTCCATACCATACAGTTGACCAGCTAAACATTAAAGCTCAATTTGCAGCGGTCGCCTGTTTTCCCAATGTAATCGGAGCTATCTACTGCACGCACATTGCTATAAAGGCGCCATCTGAAGATGAATTTGCATGCGTGAATCAAAAACATTTCCATTCAATAAATGTGCAAATAAAATATGATGCACAAACTTATTAATGATTCCTACTTGTATTTCTCATGATAAATAGTAGGCAAAATCTGATATGTAGCGGGGATGAATCAGAATGATTTCATCAGACGCTGGATTCGAACCGAGTTCATGCTCAAACGTGTCAAAACATGTTAACATGCGTTTTACGAGCTGCGCCACTGAGACTGTTAAGGTTGCAACAACATTTTACACCTATAAATCACACTATTTCTTTTTTAAAATCCACACTGTGCGATATTCAGGCCCAACTGTGTTAATCGCATCAGCTAAACTCTCCTCACTCTATTTTTTTCTTTTGTTGTTCATTCGGGAGGACAAACTTGCAAATAACACAGTTTTCCTACGGTCTATCCCCGAAAGCAGCACCTTCCATTCACATTCTCTTCAAAGTTTCTCTTTTTGCTTGCTTTTGCCATTGCTTTTTCGTTGGGTTTTGCCAAAGTACATTCATTAGCATATTCATACAGGGGAGGAGGCAGGGAGAAGTTTTGCGTTCGTGCATGTTGCGCTCAGTTTCACGTTCATTCGGATGTACAAAGAATATGCGTGGGATTCGCAATGTTTTAATATGATTTCCACGCAAGTCTTCGTACATGAGGCCCCTGCTCCTTAACACCAACAAGACCAAGGAGCTCATCGTGGACTTCAGGAAGGAACGAACAGGCTCACATGATCCCATCCACATCAATGGATGGCCGTTGCGCCTGTCTAATCCTTCAAGTTCCTGGGGACCCACATCTCAAAGGACTTTTCCTGGACCACCAACATCTCCAGCCTGGTCACGAAGGCTCACCAGCGCCTATTTTTCTTAAGGCAACTTAAGAAGAACCAGCTTTTATCAGCTGTCTTGGTAAACTTCTACCGCTGCACAGTAGAAAGCATTCTGACCAACTGCGTCACAGTCCAGTATGAAAGCTGCTCTGTTGCTGAGCATAAGGCACTGCAGCGGGTGGTGAAAACTGCCCAACGCATCACAGGGACCACACTGCCAGCCATAGAGAACATCCAGAAGAAACACTGTCTGCGCCGAGCACGCAGTATTCTTAAGGATTCCTCTCACCTTGCTCACAGACTGTTTTCCTTCCGGCAGGCGCTTCAGGCTGCCCTGGACAAAAACCAGCGGACTAAGGAACAACTTTTTCCCCAGAGCTGTCTTCCTTTTGAAATCTGCCCCTCACTGACTCTTTTGTCCCCATAATACACAATAATAAAATCTGTGAATATGCATTTAATAAAGAGGCAAAGTAAGGACATTTATAATTGACTTTATATATAAAGTTTATAAATATATATATAAAAAATGCACTTTCTGTGTGTATTGCCTCTTCTTGATGAATCACTTAATGTCTCCTCAACTTAAAGTTGCTTTGGACAAAAGCAAAAGCAGAATGACCATTACCCAAGCTGAGGGTCTGTTTCTCCATAGTCGTCTAAGTAGGGTGCTGGATAGGGACTGCCACGTGTCTTACTGGCCATCAAGACAATCTCACACTCTCGAACCCTGTTTAGAAATACACAAACAACACATTTAAGACCTTAGGAAACTTCAAATGAAATCAGAAATAATAACTGAAATAGCATAATTTCTAACAAAATCTGCCCAAATGAAGTTCTTTTTGAGTGTGTTTTGGCATTTGGAAAACGAAAGTTCATGAGAAGCACAACCTCGCTGCACTGTTCTGTCATTAAAGTTCTTTCGATGAAGTGTAGGGATGTCAAAAATTTCCTAACAATATACTGTCACTCAGCTTTTTCAAACTTTTTCCCCTATTTATTTGTATTTTATAAAAATCCACCAACCCTTTTCTTTTAAGTTGTTAAGTGACAGTCACAGTTGGGTAACCTTAGAGTGTTGTTAAATTTTTTACAACCCTACTTGCTGAAATAATAAAAGAAAAAGTCCTCAATGGCGTTATCAAGAGTTTCAGAAAAAGAAAAAAATAATAGTGCCAGACTGATAACAACAGCCAGAGGAGAGAATAACGTCAAATTTACTCTCATCCCCATACATGTTGCTTTAGAAACACCTTAGATAAGTGGTAATTAGTTTGATATAATACATATATAAATGTTTATCTGTTTTTTTTTTTTAAATAATATATTAAAAAAAGCATTTAGGATTCTGATGACCGTTAAACACATCATAACAGTCTTGTGAAAAGGATTCATTTATGTAATGGTGCATTCACACTAGACGCGGATTAAGCATCAAGTGCAAGTGGTTTACATGTTAAGTCAATGTAAAGACGAGACTAGACATCCTGCTTTTTTACTCAGTAAAAACAAGCCATACATGTAGAGCTGTTATTGTCAAAGGTTTAATAAACATATGCAACACATTTGTGATCTTTTAAAGATTCCTTTATCTTGTCACTCAAATAAGGAGAAAATGTTTTTTTGGTTTCTCTTACCTGAGAAACAGTCCCACTCCAGCCCCACAGATGGCAGCGTGACCCGTACAGGCGCCCACTTCCTCGCCGTTGAGCTGCTCATGACAGCAGGAGCTCTGAGCACACAACATCACCCCACAGAGCAGACACAGAGTCGGGTGTTTTCGCTCGTCATCTGAGGAGTTTGGACATCTGCAAAAGGCAAGAGGAGATCATCATAGATAACTCCACATTCAACTGAATGAAACCTTCATGTGCCTCCATGACCATTCTCAAAGAAGTAATTCACGCAAAACAAGCAGTGATATGCATTTTAAAGATTATTTTAATATGTTCTCTGAGGTAAACTTACAATGTTAATAAAGTGTATTTAACACTAAAAAAGAAAAATATATAAATATATGCAGAAAAGATATTTTCAGCTCTAATTCAACTCAAAAGAGACAAGCTTTGATTTTAAGGAGCGGGTCCTAAAAAGCTTGTCAGTAAATGATTTCTGTTGTGATAGGCTAATGTTATTGCATTGGAAACGGCATCAATGCTCCCTTGATTTTGCACAATGTTGCATATACAATATTAAAATCAATATTACGGCTGCACAATAAATCATTTCAGCATCAATGTGGACAGCAATGTCTGCATCTGCAATAGCCACATCGTAAGATATGCAATGCTGAGTCGGCATTCTCTTTGAATGAGTCGTTTTTACAGCTTGATTAAAAATATATTGTTTATAACTATTAATACGATTGAAGTTTTGAAACTTGCAGGATGTTCTAATGAAGCAAAGACCTCTTATATGTGAGGATGAAGGCAACTTTGATAAATCATTAATTAATCGAACAAACTTACTTAAAGTGACTGGCTTGGTTGAGCAGCACACTATAGTCCTCTGGAAGATCTATGAGCCGGTTTCTTTTGCGAGGATACCTAAAACAAATAATAAATTACAGTATTTGTTTAATAAAAAGAAATGGGGTTATTACTATTATTACGGAGTTTTAAAATGGGTTCTTCTGACCTGATCATGTGCATTTCACCTTTGAGAGCTTTGGATATAGCTGTATTCCCACACCACCTGTTGCCCACAAATACACACACAAATTGTGCAATTACATATTAATGTATAATAAAATTTATGCTTTGAGTTTAAGTTTAATCAACAAAACCATCCAGAACAATTTAATAAAAAATATATATTCTATTATCTGTATTATTTTACAATTATTGTAAAGTTAATAAAATAACATTAAAACATTTAAAAATATAATACAATTATTATTAATCATATTGTTCTTATATATTTAGATCTGACTGTACCTGTTTATTAAGGTGGTCATGACATCCCTGTGGTCTTGAAACAGTTGGAACAGGTTAGAGGGCAGGGAGAGGTAACTACACAGCAGAGGCAGCTGGCTTTCAGGTAATTCTGCACAGACAAACAACTGTGGTTAAAACAGTTAGATTTACTCTGATTACTCACTGTCATATAATTACAATTTCTACATTTTGAAAGCAGCTTAGCATACAGGCAATAAACAATACCATGTGCAAATAGCACACACTATATAATACTGTTTAAATTGCCAAACAGAATTTATTTTACCATTATTTGACATTTTTAAGGTTTTAAAGGGATTTTTTTTTTCTTTTACTCATAATTACTTATGGTTTTACATTTAAACGGTTTAACATTGTTATGGCTTTCTGTTTTTCTTTTAAACACAGAATACATTTTAAAGAATGTTGGAAACAGAAAAAAAAAAACACAATGGAATTCAATGGCTACCGGTTTTCAGCATTCTTCAAAATATCTTCTTTGGTGTTTAGAAAAAAAAAGAAAAAGAAAAGAAGAAAAAAAGAATGAAAGGAAAGAAAGAAGTAAATGAAAGAAAAAGGAAAATAAATAAAAATATATCAAAGAAAGGAAAGAAAGAAATTAAGGAAAATAAAGAATAAAAAGAATGTAAAGAAAGAAAGAAAGAAAGAAAGAAAGAAAGAAAGAAAGAAAGAAAGAAAGAAAGAAAGAAAGACAGAAAGAAAGTCAATGGCTACCAGGTTCAAGCATTCTTCAAAATATCTTCTTAGGTGTTCAACAGAAGAAAACTTTAACAAATTTGGAACAATGCGTAGATGACCGAATTGTCCCAGAAAACTGAAAACCCTCATCGTTAACTCCTCATTTAAAAGATTCTTGCATCTGCTGAACACAAAAGAAGATAATTTGAAGAAAGATGAAAACCTGTAACCATAGTATTTGGTATTCCTACAATGGAAGTCAACGGTTACAGTTTTCATCTTTAAAGGTTTTCGTCTTCAAAATATATATTTTTTGTGTTTAGCAGAAAGAAATTCATAAATGTTTGAAACCACATTAGGGTGAGTAAATAGTGAGTATTTTATTTTTATTTTTTAAAGTAAACTATCCATTTAAATCCATCCTATGAAGTGCAGTGACCTGCAGACACGGACAGCTCATCTGGAGGCGGTACTCCTGTAAGGCAGTTGAAGAAGAGAGCAGCACAGCGCAGGAAGGGAAGAACACCTCTCTTCACCCCCTCCACACTGAAGCTCAAAACACCAGACTTCATCCTGAGGAGCACAGAGACCATCAGTCACAGCCGGAGAGGAAGATGATAAAGTCACGTGTATAAAATCACCTGTCTGTGTGCTGAGACACAGTAGAGAAGAATTCAGCTGCGGCCTGAGCCTCATCGCCCTCTTCTGCCACTGCCATCACAGCACAATCTACAAACACATACACACACATTTACACACAATATTACTCAAGACTGTGAAAGAAAAAAAGAAAGAAAGAAAGAAAGAAAGAAAGAAAGAAAGAAAGAAAGAAAGAAAATAAATAAATAAATGAAAGAAGGGAAAAAAATAAGGAAATTAAGGAAAAAAGAAAAAAAGAAAAGAAAGAAAATAAAACAATGAAAAAGAAAAAAAACAAGCAAGGAAAGGAAGAAAAAAAATTAAGGATAATACAGAAAAAAATACAGAAAAGAAAGAAAGAAATAAGTAGAAGGAAGAAGAGAGAAAAGAAAAAGAAAGAAAATAAAAGAAAATGAAAGGAAGAAGGAAGAAGAGAGAAAAAATGAAAGGTAAGAGAAAGAAAAAAAATGAAAGAAAAATAGAAAAGGAAAGAAACAAACAAAGAAACAAATGAAATAAATAAAGAAGGAAAATAAATAAAAGAAAGGTAAGAAGGGAGGAAAGAAATAAGAAAATGAAAGAAAGAAAAAAAAGAAAATAATGAAAAAAAGAAAGAAGTAAAAGAAAGAAAATTAAACAAAATGAAGAAAAAACAAAGCAAGGAAAGAAAGAAACAAATTAAGATAAAGAAAGAAAAGAAAGAAGTAAAAGACAGAAAGAAGGAAAGAAAAAAGAACAAAGGAAAGAAAGAAATTAAAGAAAAGAAAAAAAAGAAAAGAAATAATGAAAAAAGAAGAAGAGGGAAAAGACAGAATTTAATGGAAAAGAAAGAAAGAAAGAAAGAAAATAAAGGAATAAAGAAAGAAAGGTTACTAGAATTGCTGCTAACATGTTTATATGTTGTTAGCATGACGGAAAAGGCTTAACACATTGCTAATGTTAAATTAGCATGCCGCTAACATATGCCTAACCTGGTATAGCGCAGGACTATCACATTTTAATATGTTGCTAATACAAATTAACATGTCGTTTACATTTCACAAACATCTTTCAATAGTTAACGTGACGTAAGCATGTTCATTACATTGCTAGAGTGAATATATTGTTTCTAGCATAATGATGAGATGTTTCTAATGTTTTAACATTTTGTTAATATGCATTACCATGTTTTAACACTAAATGCGAACATGCCTTTAGGTTGTTTACACTTTATAACATAATTTAGATCAAGCCGGTATCATCAGTTCCCAAGAGTTAAAATGTTTGAACACTTCTTAGCAAGGATAACATGTTTTAGAATGTTGCTAGGATAAAACAATGTGTTGCTAACTGTACCAAACCAACATACATGCTGCATTTGCCAAAAAAAGATCAATTTTAACTTGTAGTTAACATTTGGTAACATGAATTAATGTGTCTAAACCATTTGGTAACATGGTGGTAGCATGTTATTAGCATGTTTAGCACAAGCCTAGCATGTTGCTTATATTAATAAACGTTTCTTTTAAAAGGTTTCATCTACTATGCAGCTTTGTGTTAACATTATATGTTGCTACCATGCTAACATTTCTAAAGTTAGCATGACATGAACATATTAGCTCAGATAGCTTGTTGTAGCGCATGGGTAATATCTAACAAGTTACTAACATTAGCTAACATTTTGCTAACTTTATTAGCCAACCTCCAGTAAGTGCTGCATATGCAATAATGCCATATCTCTGTGACATTTAAATGTTTAATTTTTTTGATAAAGAATTAGCATTTTAACACCCTGAATTAACAAATGGTTATTAATGTTTATTCAACAGTAATCATGTTAAACAAAATTAGCATGTTGATAATGCTTTTAACATAACTATTGCTAGCATCTCAAAGTATTGTAACACTTGAGTAATATTTTTACATTCTGTTAGCATAATTTACCATGTTGTAATTTCTCTCTGTATGTGTGTGTGTGTGTGTGTGTGTGTGTGTGTGTGTGTGTGTGTGTGTGTGTGTGTGTTTTTTTTACCGTGTGCAGCCAGCAGGACCTGCAGCATGTGTCCCACAGTGATGAGCTGCAGCAGGTAGAGGTGATTGTACGCCGTACTGACTGCTGAAGGCTGCAGGTCTACAGCTTCTTCCTGATACAACGATGGGATGGACAGAACCAGACCCACCTAACAGAACATCCCAACATACAGTTCAGTAGAAACACTGAACCACTCTATACTAAATTAGGAAATCTATGGGACTGTCTTTTCTAGTGTATTGTCTACCAGGCAAAACATATTAAGGAAATCATTCAGTATTATATTCATGTCATATTAGCATGTATTTCATTTTTAAAGATCTTTAATAATTTTATTATTATGTTTCAGGTGAAAATATTTAGACATTACTTTGGTATTTTGTTTAATTAGTAAATGTTTTTATTTAATAAAATATAAATAAAATATATTTACTTGCAACAAATAGATATTTTGTTTATTTTGGCTTTAATGTGTTTAGCCTTTGATTCAAAATATAATATAATATAATATAATATAATATAATATAATATAATATAATATAATATAATATAATATAATAATCTACGATCACTTTACACATCATTCATTCGTTATTTACTCACCAGTAGATGAAAGAAATCCACTTCTAATATGGATGGTGTGTTTTCTACATGAGGAACTGGTACCAGGACTAGAAAGTGATGACAAGAATAATTACTACATCAACTAATCCACCAATAATATCCATCCCCTGATTATAATGTAACATACCTGCTAACATATCAGCAAAATGCTTCTGTATGACCACTTGATTGCACTTCATTCTCTGAGCAGCTGAAAACTGCACCAGCGCTTTAAGTCCAGACAGCTGAATAAAACAAATATAAATTAATCTGATATTAAATGGTGCACACTCAGATCAGTATCAATGGAGCTAAAGCTAACCTGTCTGTTCTTAAGGGATCCAAAAAGTGCCTTGCCTTCATCCTGCAACATGTTCTCTGAAGAAAGAAACATTGTGACAAGAATCAGACAAGATTTCTGTTAGTAGTTTTAGCAGAAGTCAAGCTTAGTTGTGTTACTTTTGACTACAATCATTAGCTATAGACCATTTTGAGAGATGTATACAAAAACAATGGTCCCAATATATTTCCTGTTTCACATTTTTAATTTCTGAGAATTCAAACGGTTCACATATTGATAAATAATGTTATGATAGCTGTTTTAAAATGAAGTTATGATTGAACTGCCTCTTGTTAAAGTTATGAAATAGTTTGATTACGAGCAGGAAATGTTCATGGATCAATGACATCACCAAATTATAATGTTCTATAGTCACACTGTTTCAAAGCCTGTGTTTGTAGCCTGTTTCAAAGCTGGTATGCTATCTGTATGAAACGGACAGTTGTGGTTGAATAATTTCACGTTTCTTGTCATCCAGGTGTAGACTTTGCATATATGAATTTCCACTGGTGCAAATAATTTTTGCACACATATATTTAACAAAGCTATTTGCTTTTTTGATAAATTCACATGACACTAGAATTTTTTTGTTAATATTTTGAGCAAAATATCAAAGGCTAAACAAGAAATATATATTTTCATAGCTGCTATGCTTATATATACAGGTACACAGAAAAAGTACCAACATTAGTGGAGGGCACTTTAAGAACGACATTACGTGTCACAGTTTCAGGGTCCGGCTGCTTTATCAGATGCTAAAAGGAAATAACAAATAGTACTAATATTTGCTTTGGAAACAATGACTATAAAGTTTAAATTCAAATGACTTGTTTCCTTCGACTCAAATGAGCAGGGACTTGGACACACGTACACACGTAAAAACAGTATTCATAAAAACAGTATGTATCATTTTCTCTTTTTAATTTGTCATTATTTATTCACCCTTCAGTTGTCACAAAGCTGAGTTTCTTTCATCTGTTGCACACAAAAGAAGCTATTCTGAAGAATGTTCTGAGAGCCGGTAGCCACTGACATTCACAGTATTTTTCTGATTGCAGAAATAATTAAAAACATCATTATTGCTACCAGTTTCCAACATTCTTCAAAATATGTGTTTAATATTACAAAGAAACTCAATCAAGCTCAGAACCCCATAATGTCAAGTGATTGTTAAATGGGTACATTTTAATTTTTAGGTAAAGTATATTTTGGTGAACATGTGGACATAAACAAAATTGTCTGACAGACACCCAGTGACTGAAGGGAAGAATGTGTGTATTACCGACAGCCTGGATGGTGTAGGCACAGGTGTTCCACGACATGGCTGGCACAAACGGGCACAGGTCATTCGGAGGAGTCTGCAGACCCACCCTGTGCACTGTGGTCGCACAGACAACCAGCATCTCTGTGATACTGCGAGAGAACTTTGGCCTGATCACAAAAGTTCACAGGAAATTTAGCGATACAATGAATATGTCTCGTGCGTTAATATAACATACACAATGAATTTTTATGTTTTTTGTTTATTTGATTCTACATCTGAGAGAAAAAAAAAATTTACTTAATAAATTTTTAGCCAACGTTTTTTATCTTTTAAATATTAAAATAATGGACAGTTGATGGATGATTCATATGGATCATAGTCCATGGTTAGGAACACACTAGACCCGAGGATTAATACTTTTTTTACTAGTAGATTAAGCCAAAATTTGTAAGGATCGCAGAGATATCGCCTCTAGTGTCATTCACACGTATGAATGCATTTAGGCTTTCTGGTAAAATATAAAAATGATGGAAGAAGTTGTGGTGGGTTATTCAGGATGTGGTGGGTTCCTTAGGTTAGTAAAGGTGTTTTCTATCACTAATTGTTTAGCCTGCATTAATGCATTCAGTGTAAGCTGTACGATTAATCATTAATTGATCGGCATCTCAACACCCACGCAATCTAAATTATAAATGATGATGATTTGCTTGTGTTTATTAATGTTCGGTGAGTTAATTATGAAGTTCAGTGAGTTAGTTATGAAGTTACAAACAGTCAAATAACAGAGAAGCACTGGGAGAACAGTTTATAATTTAGATTTAACCATAAACATCAGTGGTTTTGATTAAAATCCCCGTCATATGCATTTAACTTGGCGCTAAAAAATGAAAGTTGTAGACAGTATTTACATTATTTAACCAAAAGATGGCGACAACCGGCCATTGAAAAAGTTCTTGAAAAATGATACATCAGCATTGAAACAAAGTTTTATGAGCGAATAACTGAATCATTTATTAAAAATGAGACTAAAAATAAATATGAACTGTACAAATCATAATGTTAGATTTATACAGTTAAAGTCAGAATTATTAGCCCCCCTTTTAATTCATTTATTTTTAATATTTCCCAAACGATGTTCAACAGAGCAAGAAAAGTTTCATAGTATGTCTGATAATATTTTTTTCTACTGGAGAAAGTCTTATTTGTTTTATTGTGGCCAGAATAAAACAGTTATCATTAAAAAAAAAAAATCAGAAAAACAATTTTAAGTTCAAAATGATTAGCCCCTTTAAGCTATATTTTTTGATAGTCTACAGAACAAACCATTATTATACAATAACTTGCCTAATTACCCTAACCTGCCTAATTAACCTGTTTAACCTAGTCTTAACCTGAAGTCTTCAAATGACAGTGTCTTGAAAATTTTCTAGTAAAAAATTATTTCATGATTTTATGATTCATTATTTATCATCATTGCAAAGATAAAATGGTCACACTTTACAATAAGGTTTATTAGTTAATGTTAATTAATGCATTTACTGACATGAACAAACACTGAACAATACATTTACTACTGTATGTGTTCATGCTAATTAACGTTAGTTAATGAAAATACAGCTGTTCATTGTTAGTTCTTGTTAACTCATGGTGCATTAACTAATGTTAACAAGCATGGACTTAAATCTTATTAATGCATTAGTAAATGTTCAAATATGATTAATAAATACTGTGTTGTTCATGATTAGTTCATGTTAGTAAATGCATTAACTAATAAACCTTATTGTAAAGTGTTACCGATAAAATAAATCCGTTATTAGAAATGAGTTATTAAAACTATTATGTTTAGAAATATGTTTAAAAAATCCTCTCTCCATTAAATAGAAATTGGGGGAAAAATAAACGGGGGCTAATAATTCAGGGGAGATAATAATTCTGACTTCAACTGTACATTTATCATTATCAGCAACAGTAGTAGTAACAGTGATTTTTTTTCACAGTACTGAATATTTTACTATAAATTTTTATACAGCTGATTATTTCTTCATTTTATTTTTCATAAAATTACAGATTCTAAGTTCTGTTTGTTAAAACCAAAAGTGTCTTGCAGTGCTGTTTTTGTAAGGAATGGAAAGCAAATCACATTTGTCCCCTCCCCTTTTTGGCTGATTCGAAAAATGATCCGATTCCTGAGTAAAAAAATCTACGTAATCTGAACCGTGAGATTTGTGATCCATTACACCACTAATTAAAATTAATAAATTTGACGCAAAGGTGGATAGACAGAGAGATTTTAGCTTCAGTGAAATTTTACCAAGTTATCAAATAATTATTTACTGAGCTTTATAAAAGCATCTGCTAAATAAATAAAATGATAAATAACTGAAAGGCTAATATATGATAAAATAAGCAAATGGTAAGAGCCATAATCAATGCTTTTATTTCATGTATATTGTATTTCGTTTTTCACAAGCAAGACAATCAAACAAACAACAATTACATTATTTTATTTTTATTTATATTATTTAATAATTTTATTAAGCTGATACTTTTATCTAGACAATAGACAGACAGATAGATCAATTAAACAATTAATTAATGTTTATATAAATTGTGCTTCTTCCTCGCTTTCTAGTTAGTTCAATATTTAGTTAGTTCGATCATGTTTTATCATCTGGAATATTAAGTATTTAAATATATTTTGAGGACTTGTATAATTATTATAATCAATATATTTTTAATGGTATGAACAACATAATTTTTTATTTAATTATATATTTACCCTTAATATAAAACACTCTAATAAACATATTGTGCACTGTATAACCAGAACAATATATTGTCACCTTGGAATTATAAGGTTCTTTCTGCTTTCTGAATGATTTTGAGATATTAAGCTTCAAAGTTTTTGCATTCCATATAGCAAACAGTATGTGTGTAACATTTGTTTTTTAAATAAAGTCTTAAAATGTAAACAACTTATTAAAAACATCCCATAATGTAAATAAGATGTCATTTAATAAGAATATGTCTAACTCAATTTTGACAAAAATATGATAGAACCTTATAATTCTAAGGTGACAATATAAAAACCAGTTGTCAATTTCAGATTGACAACTTGTAATATAAAATGTGTCTTTAGAAACTCACGGCTCTTGAACTCCAAAACTAAGAATGGATCTGAATTCGGTTTGACCCTCATCAAAAGGTGCTGCTGCTTTCTCTGCTGCATCACTGCCATCTGCAAACACACACACAAACACAAACCAATCCAAATTAAAATGTTGGCAAGGTTTAGAGACTGATTTAGGCCCAATTTTCAGTTTTTACTCTCACCTGCTGTCCACATAGCCTTTAGGCCTCTGATTCGAGAAGACATGATCTGAATCCAGCGCATAAGAGTGAGATGTTGACCAACCAACTGAGCACTTTCACTGAAAACCAAAATAGTGTCAACACATCACAGCGAAAACAAAAACAAAACAAACTGCTTTAGAAATGCACAATATGGAATTTCGCCAATACACAATAAGCCAGTTGCCTTTTCCAAAGTCAAGTTTAAGCCCTTTTTAAGCATTTTCCGGGTGTCTCTGTTCACACTTTTCCAGCTTTTTAAAACTGTGGTAAATAGCATATTAACATACAGGTACAGTGGGGGAATTAAGTATTCAACATGCCACCATTTTTGCTATAAAACATATTTCTAAAGGTGCTTTTGACTTGAAATTTTCACCACATGTTGATAACAACAATATATATATATATATATATATATGGAAAAAAATCTAATTAGGTCACTAATTAAGTTAAGTGCAATAGAATGAAATGACATAGTGAAAAAAATATTCAACACGTGAAGAAAGGGAGCTGTAGAAAGGCAGTTAAAGTCCACACTCTCAGTAGTTTTTTAGCAACCCTCTACCCTTTTTCATTGTAAATTAATATTAGTTGCTTTAGTCCAGCATCTAAATTAGCAGGATAATGAAGATAATACCAGAGTGGAAACTCTCAAATGCTGTCAGAAAAAGAAAATCAAGCTGTAGAATGGCCTGGCCAATCACCTGACTTGAATCCAATAATAAAATACTAAATAAAGATCAGTTTGGATACACACACACACACAGAGCGCAAAACGCAGGGCGCAAACGCTTTCAGGGCGTGTCAGAACGCATTTTTGCTAATTTAAGGATGGGGAAATCCGCTTTGCGCCATGGCGCATGGTTTAAAAGGGTTGAGTTTATTTTCTTAATGAGTTACAAGTGTGTTTTGAGAATAAACCAATCAGAGTCTCATCTCCCATTCCCTTTAAGAGCCAGCTGCGTCACGCCATAAGCGCTTTTTGAAGTAAAGTAAGTTCACTTTCGCTTTTGCTCTCGTGGATAGGGAAACCTTTACGCACAGACATCAATTAGCCTATAAATAATTAATTTCGTTTGTTAAGCGCAAAGATTTGTTTAAAAACTATTTCTAAATTTAGTTCTAATTTCTAGCAAACGAATAAACAAACAATGATAACCAAGTGTGGTCAAAATACTGAGTTATTTCCAAATACACCTGCCATGCCCCATATGGTCTAAAATTTGACAGGTGGACATGACTATGCTTGTTTTTAATAAAACAAATATAAATATGGATAGAATAAATAATACTGCTAATTAATAACATTATACAAAAGCAAATTGAATGAACTGAAAAAGCATCCCGCGATGAAGAAAGTAAGGCAGTGGTTTTTAAATCTTCATGTAGACTAGAAATTTATATGCTTTGTAATATTTTAATCATTTATATTTATATCCTGTATATATTCCTATAATATATATATATATATATATATATATATATATATATATATATGCGTATTGCTCTGCATCTTGTTTGTAGTGTGTAAGCCAGGGGCACTTTGCCAGACAACAGACCGACTTTGTTCTGGTCTAAAGATCAGACTATTTACAGTTTCTCAAAATAGCAACGCGCCAAAACACGCCTGCTTTTTTAGACCAGAACGCCTATGGGCGCACATTTAGGCGCAAATGCATTTGCTATTTGAACAGCGTGGCGCAACACCTCAAAATGACTGCGCCAAGCTAAAAGTAGCAAAAGAGTATTGCGCCTTGCGCCACATTGCGCCGGGTGTATGATAGGGCCCTAGCACTAATTTCTCAGAGCATTAACATTTCCTTTGTTTATTTAGCGCTTCTTGTGTGTATTGGCTTTTCTTGTTGAATCACTGAATGCCTCCTCAACATATAAGCAAATGCTAAAGGACTGAATGTACACGTAAACTAAAAGTCTAAATCACCATACAGAAAAAAAAACTTCAAGAACGATTAAACAACTTATTTAGGTAAAAGTTAGGTAAAAACTTAGTTAGGTAAAATAATGCAGGCTCAAAATCCACAGTATTTTATTGGCAAGCCATGTCAAAATAATGTTAAATAACAGGCCTATGCCGATGTTTACATTTCAAGAAATTTTAAGCTAAATTATTGGATGCTCTGATAACATTGTGTATTTCTAAACTATAAATAAAAAGGTTAATAAACACATCATACTAGTTGAGGCTGCTGGGCTCCACAGGGATTAGTGGGATGACGGTGTTACAGAGAGATTTGCAAAGCGGACACATGTACTCTCCGTTCTCCAGGTCTATGATAAGCTCCGCATGCAGGCGATTGCGAGTTGTGCTCTGAACTGCTTCAAAATACCTGCAACACGAACAAAGACAAACAGAATGTGAACAGACCAGCAGGATTTGTTTGGTTTTAGCTTACAAGTTAGGGATTTTAAAGGTTTGTGAAATGTGTAGAGCAGTATACAGTTGAAGTTAAAGTTATTAGCCCTCCTGTGAATTGACCCTTCGCTAAGCCCCGCCCCCCTTAGTTACTGTTGTTACAAGCTTTCGTGGTTGGCACGTCTATTAGAATATGTATGCGCCAGTGTCAGAAATTGCCAGGGATATGATTAGTCATTTTTGGCGAACAGGTGAGATATCCGAGAAAGCCAAACAAAAAAGGACTGCAGTATGCAGTACAGGGGTATACTCATGACATAATAGGCAACCGATTAAAAGATAACATAATCAAAATTTAAGCTAGATGAGCCTAGCCGCTTCATACGCTGATTATTTAACATCTTAGGTTATGCACACCAGGAAAGGTGAAATTTAAAAAATAATCGAATAATAACAAATTGAACCATGATTTCTCTTTTTTTTTTTTTGCCAAAAAGCCTGATAGACTATTGTGCAAAGAAATATATTGTTACTAACTGATGAGGAAACACACATGGACAGTGCTTCTACACAATTCATTTATAGAAAGAACAGCCAGAAAGGCGAAATTGATGGATTTGGGGAAATATTAGCTTAAGTGACCCATAACAATGTACAATACCTATTACTGTCAGAATGTTTGTGTGCTCTTTATCCAGTTTCTATTTTAATTTGCAGTTAAATGAAAGAAAAAATTAAATTGAAATGCAAATCAAAGTATAAATGGCAAAAGTGAACAAACAGGTTTTCCTTATCAGCAAATATTAATCCGACACCAATAACAAAGCAGACACTAACCAGCTATATAGTCATCACCAATGACTAATTCTCCAAAAGACAGACATCAGACATCCAAAACATTAGTGAATTGTAGCTCCGATATGGGCACGAGGGTTATAAATTACTGAAAAACAGCTGCGCTATTGATTGCAAGTGCTCAGTTTGTGATCACATCTCTGTTTTGTTCTGTTGATATGTAACTTCAACTATTCGTTGCTTGAAATAGATGGAAATATGACTGCTATTATTATGACTTCTATGGTGAAGGCTTAAACAGACCAGTATTCATAATTTCAAATGAAAAAAGAAAAAAAGACCGATGGGAAACATAACCTCCTTAGTATTTTTGTAGGAAACACAGTTTTGATCTTTTTAGGGTAAGAGGTGTGTGAGTTACTGCCATCGGTCTATCACTGAATGTGTCAGAAATATCAAAACAAAACCAACTTAACTCCGCTTCCTCACAGAGCTTGATCCATGCTGGCATTTCTCCCCTTGGATTTTAGGTTTTGAAAAGGGACAAAATTCCACCACCCTGTCCAAACTTTAAGAATTCCGGGTATCAGATTTACATAATCATATGCACAACGCTTTGGCTAGTTTCCCTCGCACAAAAGATTGACAGAGAAATTTTCAAAATTTTCTCAAATGATGTTTAACAGAGCCAGGAATTTTCCACAGCATTTTCTAGAATATTTTTTCTTGTTTTATTATTGCTAGAATAAAAGCAGATTTAAATTTTTATTAAATTTTTTTAAGGTCAGTATTATCAACACTCTTATGCAATATTTCTTTGATTGTCTAAAATAAAAACAAAAGTTACACAATGATTTGCCTCATTACCCTGACTTGCCTAATTAACCTTGTGACGCCTTAATATGCCCCTTATAAGCTATATAGCTAGTATCATGAAAAATATGTAGTAAAATTGTATTTACTGTCATCATGGCAAAAAATAAAGAAATCAGTCATTAGAAATGAGTTATTAAAACTATTATGTTTAGAAATGTGTTACAAAAATCTTCTTTGTGTTAAACAGAAATTGGGAAAAAATATACACAGGGGCCTGATAACTCAGGAGGGCTAATAATTCTGACTTCAACTGTAAGTTGTATTGATGTATGTATTCATTTATTGATTCACTCATTTCCTTTTTATCCAGTCTACCAGCATCAAGGCTATCTTCATGGTGATCTCAGAATAAACTACAGAATGTTTACAATTAACAAATCGTAAAAGATAATTTAAAATAAAGTTAGACAAAAGTTCTAAAAGCATTTAGTTAACTTTTTAATCAAATTATTGTCTACAAAAAAAAAAAACACTGAAGTTCTAGAGCGACTAATACATTAAACTGCTGTATTTGGAACAATATGCTGTACTATATATATATATATATATATA